AGTAGGTTAGATAAATGTCTATCAGGGATGGTCTAGACAGTATTTGGTCCTGCCATGCAGGCAGGGGACTGGACTTGATGACCTCTCGAGGTCCCTTCCAGTCCTTGAATCTATAAACCCTTGTTGCATCCCTTTGGGGGAGCAGCATCTTCCTAAGGCCCTTCCTCTTAGGCACCTTCGGCTTGCACATGCAGCTACCAGACGCCAGGGGGCGCCCTGCACCTGCGAGGAAGGGAGGGAACCACCAGCAGACGCCATTGGAAGCTGTTGGGAGTCGAAAGTCAAAACATGTTTTGGTGGAAGCTTATGTAACTCTGGTTAAGAAGCGACCTACTTCTGGGGTGCTGTAGCTCCTGGGCGCAGCCTCGAACCTGCCGTAATTTGGGCGTTATTCGCGAGAATTGTTTTGTTTCACATGCACATTTTTACACTCGCTTTGGCAGCCGGGTTTGGCGCCCTTGCAAGCCGGGGGAAAAGGCTAAAAGCTGTTTTATTTTCGCGATCAACAAGACGACGGCCCGGGGCCGGGTTCCTTTGCTTTGCATGTCGCCCCTTGAACCGGGTGTGACTGAAATATTGCAAGATGCAGAAATCTCGGGGTGGGGGTTGGTATTGGAATGCCGGACACTTGCATGTCCAATGACGCAATGTTTTTGCAACATGCAAAACGACCCTCACCATCCGTGTAGACGGTGTGTATTGGGGGTAAAAGCCTGGGGGTGGTTAGTAGCGCCGGGGGTCTACACACACCAGGTTCCAGCAGAGAACTAGGCTGCTAGCAAAGCTCTTGCAGGGGGGGAGGGGGCGGGCGGAGCTCTCCAGGGCATGTGTGTAGGAAAAATTCTGCACCGCGGAGTTAACCCCCCCGGGCCCCTGTACCCTCTCCCGACACACTGTTTGCAAAGCGGGGGGCACGGAAAGCGCTGAGATCCCTGCGCTCGCCCCAGGGTTCAGGGCGGGGACATGGCAGAGCCGCAGCCTCCCCACGCCCCACCCAGCCGCAGCCTGACACCATGTGACGCCAGCAGGAGCCTCCTATATAAGGCGGCGGCGCTCGGACAGACCCCCACTGGTGGCTAGATCCCGGCCTGTGACTGTAGTGTGCTCGTCCGGTCCCTGCCCGCCCACCTGCCCTGCGTCTTGCGCCCGGCCCATGGTCGGCTCTGTTAGCTCACTGCGCGCCCTGCCGATCCCGAGCGACGAGAGCCCGCTAGCCCTGCGCGCCGCGGCCCTGGCCATGAGCACCGAGCTCTACCAGTCCGCCATGGAGGTGGCCGTGTACCAGCTGCACAACTTCTCCATTTCCTTCTTCTCCTCGCTGCTCGGCGGGGACGTGGTCTCTGTCAAGTTGGACAACAGGTAGCGCCCGGGCCGTGCTGGGGGGCTCCACGCGGGGGGCGCCGGGCTGGGGGGAGCTGTCCGGAGCGGGGCTCGCTGCTAACCGGCCGCCCCTTTCTTGTGTCTTTCAGCGCCTCCGGAGCCAGCGTGGTGGCGATCGACAACAAGATCGAGCAGGCGATGGTGAGCATGGGCGGGGTCACTCCGCGGGTAGGGTCCTCCTGGGCTGATGCATTAGGGCTCGCGCCTGCCCCCTTCCCCGGGATCGCTGCGGGGCGCACGCCGTCTTCGTCTTCCGCTGGCGAAGCTCACTGACCGCTGCAGCGCGCCGGGCGGGTCGGGGGATCCCAAAGCGCAGGCGGGACCCCCGGGTGTCCCGTTGCCCGGAGCCCCAAGCCCGCGCCCTGCAGCCAGAGAGGCAGGACACAGCACCCCCCGTGCCCCTAGAGTGCCTGGGACCCACACCCCTCGCTTGGGAGCTGGCAGGGGCCCTCCTGGGAAAGCAACAAAGTTCTTCTCCCAGCGCGGCTTCGAGGCTTCACTCCAGCCATGCCAAGGGCTGTGGCACATCAAACTCCAAAATTGTTTTTCCTCTTGTGGGGGAAAGAGCGCAGTGATCTTGCCCTGGGTTAGAGGGAGGGTGCTTGGTAGCAGATCGGAGCTCCGGTGTGGCTGCTGAGCCCTGCTGGGAAGGGCAGAGAGCTGAGCTCAGAGACCTGCAGAACGGCGCCAGGGAGTTGTTACAAATCTGCTGTACAGTATGGGCTGCATGGTGACCGGTTTGCAGTGTCCCTGGCAGATGTGCCCCTTGCTAAACTGTGCTAATAGCATCCCCTGCATCCTGTACATGAGAGCCCTTTAGCCAGAACCCCACAACCACTGCCCCTGCTCCAGCCAGACAGCTGGATTCAGCTGCTGGGAGCTCAGGCTAGCTCTGAGCATTGATGACAGCAGCACAGAGCCCAGCTGGTCGTGGGCTGCAGCCAGAGTCCATAGCTGAGCCTGGGAGTTGTGGCAGAATGGTTTGGTAACAGCATGCCTTTGGTTCATCTCTTGTAGGATCTAGTGAAAAACCACTTGATGTATGCTGTGCGGGAGGAGGTGGAGATCCTCAAAGAGCAGATCAAAGAACTGGTGGAGAAGAACTCCCAGCTGGAGCGAGAGAACAGCCTCTTGAAAACGCTGGCCAGCCCTGAGCAGCTGGAGAAATTCCAGTCCCGGCTGCCTGCAGAGGTGCTATCTGCAGAGGAGCAGGGCGGGGCGGCTACCCCGGCCCAGCACACCAGGGGCTCTGCGGTGTAAGGTGGCTCTGTCCTTGGAGTGGGCAGAGCCACTGAACTCTTTCTACTTAATCTCCTTAAAAGTTGTTTCCTTCCTCATCTCATGTGGAGAACTTCCCAAGCTAGCGAGAGCTACGAGATGTGCCAGGGGCGCTGCCCCAGCTGCTGGGACACTGACTGGCTCTGAAGGAGTGAGGTGTCATGTTAGGACACTGCACAGCCAGACGACCCCCAACAGGGGCCTCTTTGCATGTCCTTAAGAGTGCAGGGGCTGCAAAACGGGTCATGTGCCCTCGCTGCACCGTTCAGCTGGGCTCCTGTTGCACTTGACAAAGACTGATCCTTGGAGGAAGCCAGTTGTTGTTGAAGAGAGATACAATCTGCCCCTCCTGCCACCCTGGAATGGGCCTGGGGCAGGAACCAAAAACTGACCCCGTCAGCACCTTTGTTTTGGCGGCTGTGGACAGTGCATGGCTTGTGTAGACCACAGGTTGGGGATTACAAGGAAAGCTTTGTTTCGTTAGTGCAGGGATTTTTATATCCTTAACTGCATCTAAGGAACGTATACACGCAACCAGTGCTGGGGATGGCTACAGAAGCCTGGGGCTCTTGCGGGGGCTCTATGGATGCTGCTGCCCATAGCTGTATGCCTGGGGCCAGCTGGGGATTCCAGCCGAGCGTGGAGGTGGGACGCTTGGATGCTGTTTGGAAATGGGTGACTGGAGCTCTCTCACTGTGGGATAGATTTTTATACATAGCTCGGTCTGTGTACAGAGCCCCCCCGGGAGGGAGATTCCCCCTCCTCCAGCCTGCCCAGTGCAGGGCCACAGGATACCCACAGCAGAGATTTTATAATGAAACATGCCAATGAGACCTGCCTGCCGTGGACGGGGCGGCACAATCCCTCGGGGGTGAGAGCCGAGGTTATTTGCTCCGTGAGCGTTTTCCCCCCCTCCCCCCCGCCGACAGAGCAGACTGGGCATTGCTCTCGACATTGGACTGTCAGAGCATTAATGTGACTGTGTGAATCTAGCTAGAAATGGCAATAAACTCTACTTTTGATATAGACGCAGAGAGGTATGTCTTTGTAATGGGAGAGGGGCAGTGTGGAGGGGAGGGTCTGGGTAGTGGGAAGGGTGGGGGTGGGATGGTGTTGATGGGAGAGGATCAGTGCCTGTGGGGGGGGGCTGGGGGAGGGGAGAGGATAGGTGCTTGGGGATGGGGGGGGGGCAAACTCCAAAAGCTTTGGTGGGATGTGGGCTGAGGTTCAGACTCCGCAGGGAGGGACTGTCCAGCCCCTGTGTGCTTTGACCTGAGAGAGGCCAACTGGTGACATCTGTGGTGTGGTTCTGTCAGGGAGCTCCCCCTGCCCACACCCACACATTCCTCTGCTGCTCTCCAGTGAGATGCAGCATGCTGTGCTGGGATGCAGTGTCTTCAACTGGTCACTCTGGAAGCTCCCTTTCGTGCTGGATGCTGCTGGCTTCCAACGTGAAGCCCCTGAGTCGGGGAGGGGGTGTGTGAATAGAGGAGTCAGTGATCCCAGCCCCCTCTGCATTTCAGCCTAATGGGCTGAGACTTGGACCCTTGTGGGGCCTATCCCCATTGCAGCCTGCAAGATGAGAGCAGGGGTGAGCGCTGGCACCACCAGGGTGGGCAGCACAACTACTCGAGCCAAGGGGGCCTGGAGTATGTGGCGGTGGGGGAGGGGGGGCAGGTGTGCAGGGGCATTGGGTGCTGGGCTGTTACAAAAGGGAGATGCGGGGTCTGCAGCCCCCTAGGGTTCCAGCCCTAGGCTCCCACACAGCTTTGACGGTGCCCTCAGCCCCGTGCTGTCCCAGGCCTGGGCTCCCAAATCTTCGAGCCCACAGAAGGGGACTGGTGCCCCTGGAGGAAGATCTTTCAGACGGTGCAGTCACATGCCAGAGGAGCAGCGGCCCTCTCCCAAGCTGCTGGGCTGGGCTGTGGGTGCTGCATGGAGCTGGCGTCAGTGAGAGGAGACGAGCGCTGTATGAGGGCACAATGAGAGGGTCACAGCTCCTGGGGTGAAGAACATCCCCATATCATCCCTCACTGACGCTCCTCTCTAGCCGTGAGTGTCAGCGGATGCTGCTGGGACAAACCTGGGGGAGCCTCACCAGGATGGGCCCCGCTGGGAAGAAAGCAAAAAGACCGTTGTGAGCAGGTTGGAAAGGGCTGGACCGTCCCTGCGCTGGAGCCAGGAGCCCAGGGAGGGCAGCAATCGGGGGGTACCAGGGGGTGCAGGGATCAGGATGCAGAGAGACTCAAGCTGATTGGGAGGTGCCCCCTGGGGCAAGCTCTGAGGGATCCCATTCTCAAGGGAACAACCCTGTCCTGGTCCCTGGGAGCCAAATGAGCAGCCAGAGCTTTGCCATTTCCAGAGACCACCCCACAACGGGCAAAGCACCCCTTCCCGTCGGTCCCCAGTGGGGGAAGGGCACCTGGCAGAGACACTGACCCCTCTGCCTCTGTTCCCAGCATCCCAGCCTCCAGTGCAGCCTCTGACCTATCTGGGGTGACAGTGCCCCAGGTCCTGCAGGAGGCTGGCTTAGCAGTGTGGTGCCCACCCCTCCTCCTCCACCCGCTGCCCAGCTTCCCAGCCCATGCCCAGCTGGCACTTACCACGCTGCCCAGGGAGCTGCCCAGAAAGGGGCTCTCCAGCCCCAGCCACCTTCCCGCACAGCTGCTCTCAGCTTCAGGGCGCAAGCCGGCTCTGCCTAACCAGGTCTGTTCGATCCCATCCCCACCCACTGTCACTCCTGATTAGGGGCCTGGGTCTCCCCACTGGCATCACTCCAGGGCAGGACTGGGCTGCAGCATCCTGCCAGGCTGTCACCCAGTTGCCCCTGTCTGCACTTTATCCCCGCCCATGCTGAGCCAAGCCCCCTACGCCATGCACACCGGGACCTGCCAGGCTGCAGCCACATATGGTGCCCAGAGGCTGCAGCTGTCTGTGTGGCCGGTGGCAGCCGTCCCTGCATGGCTGGAGGAAATGCTTTGGGCACCTTTGAGAGAGCGGCTCCAGGGTAACAAATGCAGGCATGGCCTCCTCTGTGCTCAGTGGGGCTGGGCTGCGGGGACACCTGGAGCGATGGGTCATGGAAAGAGGCAAGGCGTGGGGTGGTGAGGCTGGGCTGGGGTAGGGGGTGAGCTCCCCAGGGAATGGCAAGCAGAGAGAACAAGGGGGTGCTCTGCTGCTCCCCAGGAGGTCACCTCCCGACGCCTACGCTTGGGCTACTCCCCTGGGCCCTCAGCCAATGGGCCCCTGAGCCCTTTTCCTGCCACGGCGTCGCATTTGGAGCTTGTGTGCCGGTGCTTGTCCACTAGGCCCCCTAAATCCTTCCCAGTCACTGCTCTCCTTGCCCCCAGCCTGAGGGTGCAGCCTGCGCTCCTCGGTGCATGACCTGGTGTTGCATTTTGTTTGACTGGGCCCAGCTGCTCAGCAGGGCTGGCTCCAGGCACCAGCCCACCAAGCTTGTGCTTGGGGCGGCACCTGGAGGGGGGCGGCGCGGTGCTACGGCTCCGGCCGCCGGGGAGAGCGGAGCCGCAGTGGGTTTGCCGCCCTCCCCCGGCGCTCTGGCCGCTGGGGAGAGCAGGGCCGGACTGGGCTCTCCGCCCTCCCCCCGGCGCTCTGGCCGCCGGGGAGAGCGGAGCCCCGGCCGGGCTCTCTGCTCTCCTCCCGGGGCTCCGGCCGCCAGCGGAGGCGCGGCGGGCTCGCTGCCCTCCCCCCGGCGCTGGGGTGGGGGGAGCGGGAGGCTTTTTTGCCGCCCCCCCCTGCTGCTCAGTGATCCTGCACCTGCTATACGACTCAGTGCTCGTTACCGCGCTGCCCAGCTTCGTGTCAGCTGCAAATGGTCCATGTTGGCACTGTTGACGTCATTAAGCCTCACCCTAGGTAACTCGGGAGGGTGGAAGGCCACAAAGTGTCAATGAAGCCTTCCTGCACTAGGCCTAAGTGAACCAAACTCTATCCTTCCATGTTTAAACTCTAATCAACCTCAAAAGCCAGGTGCAATTGGAATATGTAAGCAACCAGTTATCTGTGTGCAACCTCCTGCTCAAGCGGTAATAATGAGGCCTGCATGTTTCTGGCTGAAGGGAAAAAGGACAAGATAATGGTTTAAAGAAGTTATTAACAAGCTAGGCTTATAGCTGCCAAGAATGACTTAACTATTACCAGGGACGGGAGGGGTAGAGGGCGGAATGGGGGGGAGAAAGAGAGGGCTAGAGAGGAAAGGGGGGGGTGAGGCTTAACTGCAAAATGTATAAAAGAAGAAAAACTGTTCCTGTTAATGTGCTTGATTTGAGACTTGCCAGTCTCCTTGCACCGCTTTGGGATCCCAAATAAACTTTGTTTGCTTCTCCACCTGGTGTGTTTATTGACGCGAAGCACACGGGGCAAAGAACCCGCTGTTGCTTTGCCTCGGGCACTCTGTGCTGGCAACAGCACTGAACACAGAACGGAGCCCTATGTGCCCCACTTCAACACCGCAGTTCGTGATGGTTCTGCAGTGAGAATTACGTGGTGAGAGCTGTCAGATCCCCAGTTCTTATCATTACCCCACATGGTTTTAGTGCAAACCCGCAGTGCTAGTTTTGTAAGCCAACCATTGTGCGGTACTAAATCAAACATGTTACAAAAGTCAAGTCCAGCTACATAGTCCGAATGCATCCCAGACAGACAGCAGGTCAGTTTGACAACTCGCCGCAAAATCCTGGTCCAGCATTAAGGCTTTTTTGATTGAATCCTGTATCAGCTTTGCCATGATTTTGCCTGGGTCTGATGTCCCCTCCACGACTGTAACGGGAGGAGGGGTAACGCAGGTGGGAGTCACAGTCCCATGGGGAACAGCCCCTGAAATGCCCCACAAGGCTTGAACCCTGGTTGTGCTCACCCTACCGAATGGCTGATGAAGAGTTGCAGGCATGTGGCTCATGCACCCTCCTGCCCTGGGGTTCAGCACATGGGCAAGACAGGCTGTGTCTGCTGGAGCTGGGTTTGCAGGTGCTCAAGCAGAAGGGTCAGGCCATGCCAGCTCCCATGGCTCAGAGTGTTCCCGGCTCCAGCTGGGTCTGGCACCAGGGCCCATAGCCAGGCTGAGCCCCCCCAGCTAAACTCCCCTGGCTCACAGCTTCCCAGCGCCCTGGCTCCAGGCCTGCAGCCCCTCGAAGGGCGTGGCGCTGGGAGGCAGCACATGCTCAGCCCTGCACCTGGCAGGAGGTGCTGGACAATGCAGCTGCAAATGGGGAACCCAGCACAGTTGGGATGCTGCTCCCCAAGCAGCTGGTGAGCAGCTAGGGTGACCAGATGTCCCGATTTTATAGGGACAGTCCTGATATTTGGGGTTTTGTCTTATATAGGAGCCTATTATCCCCTACCTCCTGTCCCGATTTTTCAAACTTGCTATCTGGTCACCCTATGAGCAGCCAGCCCTGCTCGTCCGGGCAGGCTCCCCTTCCCCTGCAGAGGCAGGGGCTTCACCTCACTCACGCTGCAGGACAGAGGCATCTTTTCCTTCCAGCCAATCCCACGTTCCCCTTTCCCTGTCCATGCTTGAGCGCTATCACCCGCCACCCCATCCCAGCCTACAGGAGCCAGCACACCCCTACTCAGGCAGGAGGCTGACAGCCCAGCCCTGGGTCAGGCAATTTACAGCTGCCCCAAAAGTGAGGAGTCCAATGGCAGGGAACCGTAGAGTCCTTGGCCCATGAATACCAATTGTGCGCGCTGGGCACTGCCTGAGGGCTGAGTGCAATACAGCATAAGGGCACGTGGGCCCAGAGAGTCCCTTGCAGACTAATGTGAAAACGCAGCACAATGCGGGAGTGGGAGGCGTCAGTCATAGCTTGGGCAAGGCCCAGGACTAGACGGGGGGTGGGCTGTGGGCCAAGACTTGAGGGGCATCAGCAGAGGCTAGAACTGTGTGTGGAGCCCAGTGCAGGGATAGCAGAGGGGTTGAGGGGCATTGGCAGAGCTGGGGGGTGCCCAGGGGTGGGTGGGCACTAGGAATTAGAATTACATCCATTGTTTTAAACAGAGGAACTAT